AGAAAATCCTTATGACTTTGTGTTAGGCAAAATTTACTAGCCACAAAATAAAATTTGATAAATTGGGTTACATCAAAATTAGAATCACTTGCTTCTCAAAAGACACTGTTACAAAAAATGTAAACAACTATAGACTGGGACAAAGTTTCCAATACATATAGTCTGATACAGGACTTGTATCAATAATAATAAGAAAACTCAATTAAATGTGGGTAGAATAATTGCATAGGAATATTATCAAAGGAAACTATAATCCTATTGTGGGCGGGGTTGTGGCTCAGTGGTGGAGTGCTCACCTAGCACGTGCGAGGCTCTGGATTTGATCCTCAGCACCACATAAAAATAAATAAATAATGGTATTGTATTCAATTACAAGTAAAAAAATAAATATAAATAAAAATACATATAAAAAAAGAAATCATAATCCCTTGAGAAGCAAAGATGCATATGAAAAAATACTCTACATCAGGGATTGGAAAACTATTACCCATTTCCTGTTTTTAATAAGTTTTATTGGAACACAACCACACACACTTATTTACTATCATTGAAGCTGTTCTCATGCTATAGGGGAAGAGTTGAGTAATTGTTACAGAGACCCTAAGGCCCACAAAGCCTAAAATAGTTATTATCCGCCTCTTTACAGAAAAAGTTTGCCAACCCCTGATCTAAAGGATCTTAATTCCATGGAAGTTTGGCCCATTTTTTTTTTCAGGATGAATTTTTACTTTTCTTGGAATTGTCATTTTTCACAACTGGATCTTCTCTTTTGATTTTCAGTCATATTTTGAACATTCATTGTATTAATGAGTTAGCAAAATCTGTTAAAGGAAAAATTAATTTATATATTTGTCTGTTTAATTCTTGCTAATCTAAGCTGTGGTATTGGAAAGCTTTGCCTTATTCTGAGGTATCACACTTTAAGGTCAAAACAGATGTAGGTTCAAGATGTTAACAAGTATTTAATACCAAAAAAAAAAAATGGTACTCAAAACTACTTTACCAGCTTGTACTTATTTCCTTCAGCAAGTTAAGTGCTGACTACAAGCAAGCAAGGATGGGGATTGAAGGCATATGCTACATTTTGGGGAACTGTCTGGTCTCACACTTCCCAGGCGGTGTCTACTCACAGATGTCTTTGCCCCGATCTTTACTAGAGGTAGTAATCCCACCATATGGTCAGCATGTGGAGGTTTGTGATCAGTTCAGCATGGTCCAGAGATATGCAGAAGTCAATGTTCATAGTGATCTGGCAGGCCAATCTTTATATGCTAATTGGGGTGTCTGGATATTCTGGATATACCTCAAATCTTATAAGTTTGCTTTTCCATCAGCTACGTTGTGTTTAGTTACACTGCAAGTTATGTTACACTGGTATGTAAGTTGCTACATAAAACATATTTTAACTTTAGGGTACACCAAGTGTTAATCTGCTTTGAGTAAGTTAGCTATATACTTACCTGTTATATGTTTACAACCTTATTTTTAAGAAAATCATTTTCAAGCAAGGGAATATTTTTGGTGGGAGAATTTGTTTACTATTCTTAAGCGTTAATGAACATATCTTATTCACTCCTATTTAAATGTGGGATAAATTATCTTCTATAGAAACTTCATTTCAGCTTGATTTGTTAGTATAATGTGTGAACATAAAATTTAGTTTTGTAATATAATTTCAGCATGAGAATATTTTTACCAGAAATACAATAAGGAGAAAAAAAACAAGCCAAAATTTTTTTTTCCTGAGTTACTGAAATTATAGGTGTGCCACTGCCCAGCTACACTGATTGGTTTTGAAGGTCCTCAAGTAGATTGAAAATGACAGTGCCACTTTTACTTACAGCCTATGGATCATTACTAGTCACATGGTTGCTACCTAAGTGCAGGAAAGTATAGAAAATACAGGGTAGCACATGAAATATTTGGAAATGAAATTTGTTAAATGCATTTTAAAACTAATAAACTTTATTTTTAGAGCCGTTTTAATGCACCCAGAATTGAGTGAAAAGTTCATTTCCTACATACCACTATGCCTGGCAGGAACAAAATTTAGTGAAAGAATGTATAAAATTATTTCTGATTTCCCCATGTTTACTTCCACACCATACTTCTGCAAGTCCTGCCAACTTTAAAATGAACCTTTAATCCATCCTCTTGTTTTTGTCTCTATTCCTTATCCCAGTCCAAACCATATTCATATTCAGTGTTTTGGTTGCAATAGATATACTGAGTCACAACTTATCTTCCTAATCGAAGTGGTTTAACATAGTAGATGTTTATGGTGGCTTACATAAAGCCCAGTGAGGTTTGGGTTATGATCTTCCTCTTACTATACAATGAAAATATGTTCTTAGAGCTCTATACCACCTAGCTATACTACCTACACTAGTGACTTTTTAAAGTTTCTATTTATTTTTTTGATACTGGGAACTAAACCTAGGGGTATTTACCACTGATCTCTTTCCCAACCCCTTTTTATTCTTTATATTGAGGCAGAATTTTGCTAAGTTGCTGAGGTTCTTGCTGAAGTGCTCGGGCTGGCCTCAAACTTGTGCTCCTTCCACATGAGCCTCCTGAGTTGCTGAAATTACAAGTGTGTGCCACTGCCCAGCTGCATTGATTGGTTTCACATGGTTGCTACCTAAGTGCAGGGAAGTATAGAAAATGCAGGGTAGCACATAAAATATTTGGAAATAAAATTCAACCACAATCAGATTATTAGTTACATTTTAGTTTTCTCATTTCCTCTCATGTCCCACTATAATGCTTTGTCTACGTAGTAGCCAGAATGCTTGGGAAAAATTTTTGTTACTGGTTTGCCAATATTTTCCAGTTTGCATTAAAATCTAAATACTTTACTGTCACATGGGCAAGGTATTGCATGGTATAACCCTTGCTTCTCTAAATTTCATAATTGGTATTTAGTGTTACTAAATATTATTTTTGAATAGTAAATTTTAAATAGGCATTCTCTTTCATTTTTTCTATATTTATGAAAATCTGATTTTTAGTGTCAACTTATAAAATCACAGTAATAACTTTAAATTGATTAATAATACCAAGAAAATTCTAAGAGTTATGGTATTTTCAGTCACATTATATACAATAAGAATATTTTTAAGTAATCTGGAAATACCTATATAATGTCCTATTATAATTGATAAATTCTTATAGCAAAGTTGCAATAATTGCTTCTGTTTGTCCGACAGCAAATGATCTCTAAAAATAAATGGTTTCTTCAATCCCCAGCACTGCACAAAAAAATTAAAAAATAAATAAATAAATGCTTTCTCTGGTTAAACTTTATATGAAAGACATTTCCTTATAGTTAAGTGCATTTGTAAACTAATAAGCTTTATTTTTTATTTTTTAAAAATATTTTGTTGATTGACCTTTATTTATTTATTTAGATGTGGTGCTGAGACTTGAACCCAGTGCCTCTCACATGCCAGGCAAGTGTGCTGCTGCTGAGCCATAACCCCAGCCCAGTAAACTTTATTTTTAGAGCAGTTATAATTCACAGCAGAATTGAGTGAAAAGTTCAGTTCCTAGATACCTGTGGTCCCCACAAATGCCCAACATCCTCCATTATCAACATCTCACACCAGAGTGCATTATACATATTATAATTTATGAACCTGTATTGGCACATAATTATCTCTCAAAGTCTATAATTAACATTATGATTCACTTTTAGTATTATACATTTTTATGCAAGTGTTTTGTACAGTTCATGTATTGCAATTAAGTAGTTATTGCCTTTTGGTTATATCTTCTTTGTCATATTTTTCTTTGGCAGTCTGTATCTCTTAATTCAGACATACACACATATATCACTTATAATTCCAAATAATTATTTTCGAAACTGAGAATGGTGACCCACACCTCTAATTCCAGCAAGTTGTGAGGCTAAGACAGGAGGATTGCAGGTTTGAGGCTAGCCTCAGCAATTTATTGAGACCCTGTTTCAAAATAAAAAATTAAAAGGGCTGGGGATGTAGCATGGCAAAGTGCCCTGGGTCAAAAACCAGTACCAAATAACAACAACAATAAGACACGTTTAAGAAATGAACTAAATAATTGTGGAATAGTTTGGAATATTTTCCTGAAATTTTTAAATTTATTTTTCAGAAGTAATTGAACATAATTCCTTTATTTTATTTATTTTTATATGGTGCTGAGGATCGAACCCAGGGCCTCACACGTGCTTGATGAGCACTCTACTGCAGAGCCACAATCCCAGCCCCTCATGAAATAATTTTTAATATGATAAACTATAGGTTAGAACAGTGTCCTGTCACACACACACACACACAAAAAAAAAAAAACTTAGGAGGAGTATGCAATCTTTATTTTTAAATATGTGTGTAAGAATAGCTCTATATTAATTTTGTGTAGTCTCTAGGTTGCAAATCTTGGGAACCAGATTTTTAACAAGCTGTTTGATAAATTAGCATGTTTATTTGAAATGTAGCAGAGCATTTATATATTTGATAATTTTGTCAATTGATTTAAGTAATTAGTTAATAGTGATGCCTGTTTTAGCAAATGAAAATTACATATAGTTAAATTGAGTATTCTACAGTTTGCATGGATTTAAATCTAGTTCTAATGGCTTGTCCAATATTTGACATCTTCTTACATATAAAAACCTTGTGTAACAGATTTTACCTGGCATTGATAGTATCATTCATTTTCCTTTTCTTTGCTGGCTAACCCTATTTAAACCCTTTTTGGTGATCAAGTATTACATTGCAGCGGGATCATCCTACTCTTGAGTATATAATATTGAATAAAAACAAGTATTCATAGAATGGAAAGGTAAGGAAATTAAATCTTTTTCTTTGATAAGAAGTCAATTTGCCAGTCTCCCTTCATGTAATTGGATGTTTTGTAAAGGAAATTAGATTTTATGAGAGGAATAAAGGAAGTTATTAAGTGTCTCTGTGAAATTTGACTGCTTTTGTGCTTTGAGTAACAGTGTTTGTCTTTGTTCACAGTAACTGTAGTACTGAATGGAAGTGGCTTGTAGACAGAGCAAGAGTTGGCAGCAGATGGACTTGGCTTCAAGCCCAGATTTCAGAGTTAGAATACAAAATTCAACAACTTACAGACGTTCACAGGCAAATCCGAGCCTCCAAGGTATTGTTTGTGTTTTTCCATTTTTGGTTAAAAAATGTTACTGTTTTAATTTTTACTCATTTCATTACACAAAATAAGCTTTACAAAGTTTTCTAAGTGTAACTAGTTTAAGTAAATATTCTTGATTCATTAATTAGTATAAATTAAACCTAGATTTGTGAAGCTTTTGCATGCAGTAATATCATTTATAATACTTTCTTAGCAATAGAGAACTTCTTTCTTGAATTCTAGTTAATAGAAATGATATCCTTTTTTTCAAAATTTTTTATTATGGCAAAAAGCACCTATCAGAATTTACTATCTTAATCATTTTTCTGTGTATAGTTTAGTGGCATTAACTGCATTAATAATAATAGGTATCAATTTCCACAAGTTTTTTCATCTTTTAAAACTAAGACTCTACCCATTAAATAACTACTATCCATTTCTCCCTTTTCTACTCCTGGCAACCATGTGTGTCTTGTTTTGGCTATTCAAAGTACGTCACATATGTGGAATCATTAAAGTATTTGCCTTTTTTTTCACTGGCTTATTTCCCTTTAGTATAATGTTTGCAAGTCTCATTGTCATTGTAGCATATGTTAGGAATGTTTTCCTTTTTAAATCTTGAATAATATTCCATTTTGAGTATATACATTTTACTTATCCATTCATCCACTGATGGACACTTGTGTTGCTTCCACATTTTAATTACTGTAAGTATGCTACAAACATGGGTAAAAGTATCTCTTTAAAGCCCTGTTTTCCGTTATTCAGAATTGCTGAATCTGCAGTAATTCTATTTTTAATTTTTTGCAGAACCACTATGCAGTTTTCCAGAGTGCCTATATCAGTATATATTCCTACCAACAGTGCACATTGGTTCCAGTTTCTCCAAATCATCACCAACATTTATTTTCTATTTTTTTTGGTGTATTTTGTTTTTAATACGAGATATCATAAAGGATGTGAAGTGATGTCCCTTATAGTTTTGGTTTTCATTTTACTAATTATAAATGATGTTTACATTTTTATATGCTTATTGGCCCTTTGTATATATTCTTTAGAGAACAATTTAAGCCCTTTGGCCATTTTGAATGGGATTGTTCACTTTTAGTTGTTGAGTTTTACAGGTTCTATAGATATATTTTGTCTATTAATTGCCTATCCAATGTGTGATTTGCAAATATTTTCTCCCATTTTGTGGTTGTCTTTGTACTCTGTTTTTTTTTGTTTGTTTGTTTGTTTTGGGGATATTTTTTTTCCCTGTGCTGGAAATTGAACCCAGGGGTACGTTACCACTGAACTATATGCTTAGTCCTTTTTATTATTTTGAGACAGAGTCCTGCTGAGTTGCTTAGGGCCTCAGTAAATTGCTGAGGATGGCCTTAAACTCGAAATTCTCCTGCCTCTGACTTTAGTGTTGCTGGGATTACAGGCTTGAACATTCATGCCCACCCAATCTGTCTTATCACTCTGTTGATATACTTTTGATGCCCAAATTTGTAAGTTTTAAAATCAAGTCCAGTTTGTCCATTTTTTTTTCCTATTTTTACTGTGGCTTTGGTTCCCTGTCTAATAAATTATTACCAAATCTAATGTCATGAAAATTTTCCTGTTTTCTTCTAGGAGTTTTATAGTTTTAGGTCTTATACTATGATCTTTAATCCACTTTCAGTTAGTTTTTATATGTGGTGTTAGGTAAGGATCCAACTTCATTCTTTTTTTTTTAAAAGAGAGAGAGAGAGAGAGAGAGAGAGAGAGAAAATTTTAATATTTATTTTTTTAGTTTTCGGCAAACACACATCTTTGTTTGTATGTGGTGCTAAGGATCGAATCCGGGCTGCATGCATGCCAGGCGAGCACACTACTGTTTGAGCCACATCCCCAGCCTCCAACTTCATTCTTTTGTGTGTGAATATCCAGTTTTCCCAGGACCACTGGATGAAAATAGTTCTTTCCCCATTGAAGGATCTTGGTATCTTTGTCAAAAATTATTTGACTCTGTATGCAAATATACAGTTGTGAGTTCCCTGTTATTTTCCTTTGGTCTACATCTCTGCTTTTATGCCACTACTACACTGTTTTGATTGCCATAGTAGTTTTTGAAATCAGGAAATGTGAATCTTTTATCTTTGTTCCTTTTTAATATTTTGTTGGCTATTGGTCTTTTGGGATTCTATGTGAATTTTAGGATTTTTTTTCCTTGTAAAAATGCTGTAGGAGTTTTATAAGGATTGTATTGAATCTATTGATCACATTGGATAATATTAACATCTTAAAATATTGTCTTTCAGATTATGAAAATGAGATGTATTTCAATTTCTAATTTCTTTCAGTAATGTTTTGTAGTTTTCCTTGTATAAGTATTTTACCTCTTTGGTTAAAAATTGTTATTTTCTTATTATTTTATTCTTTTTAATACTATTGTAAATAGAGTTTTATGATTTTCTTTTCAGATTTTTCATTGTTAGTATATAGAAATGTAACTAACTTTTATTTGTTAACTTTTTAGGCTTCTATTTTGCTGAATTAATTTATGAATTCTGACAGTTTTTTTGTGGAATTTTTAGGATTTTCTACATCACCTGAAAACTGATAATTTTACTTCTTTATTTACAATTTTGATGACATTTATTTCTTGTCCAATTACCCTAACTAGAACTTCTAGTACTATGTTGAATAGAGGTGGTATTTATTTTTCCTTAATTGTGAAACAGTAAAGCCATCAAGTTCAGAGCTTTTCTTTGTTAGGAGATTTTCGATTACTCACTCAGTCTTCTTCCTAGTTATAAGTTGATTTAAAGTGAAATCAACTGGTTATTGTTTTCCTTGTTACAATTCCTTTATTTGTTTTTTGTTTTTTAAAGAGATTTGTTTGTTTTTTTAAATGGGCCTTTATTTTGTTCATTTATTTATACACAGTGCTGAGAATTGAACCCAGTGCCTCACACATGCCAGGCAAGACCTCTACCACTGAGTCACAACCCCAGCTCTACAATTCCTTTATTTGTAAAGTTAGGTTGTTATTTCAGATTTTTGTTCTTTTTTAAAAAATGTGTTTACTGCTATAAATTTCCCCCTTAGCACTACTCACGCTGTATTCCATAAGTTTGGTGTGTTGCATTTCATTTTCATTCATCTCTAAGTATTTTCTATTTTCCCTTGTGATTTTTTTCTTTGATCAACTGGTTGTTTAAGTGTATATTGTATATACTCTACAAAATTTTTGAATTTTCTAGTTTTACTTCTATTATTTTGATTTCTAGTTGGAAAATATACTTTTTTTTGTAGTTGGACACAATAACTTTATTTTATTTATTTATTTTTATGTGGTGTTGAGGATCGAACCCAGGGCCTTGCACGTGGGAGGCGAGTACTGTACTGCTGAACCATAACCCCAGCCCCTGAAAAATATACTTTTAATGATATCTTTCTTTTCAACATATGGTCTGTCCTGGAAAATGTCCCATATTTAATAGAGAAGAACCTATATGCTGTTGTTGGGTAGAGTTCTATATAAGTCTGTTAAATTCAGTTGCCTTAATGTATTGTTTAAGTACTGTGTGGACGTAATTCTGTCCTTTATTAAGAAGTGGGTAATAGAAATCTCCAACTGTTAGCATAGAACTTTTGATTCTCCCTTCAATTTTGTTAGTTCTTATTTCATACATTTTGATAGTCTATTATTAATTGTATAAATGTTTATAATTGTTATATCTTATTATATTGTATTTTTTAAATATATTATGCCCTTTATATCTTATTTTTTAACTTAGTCTATTTTGGCAGATATTAGTATAGCCATCCCTTGTCTTTCTTGGTTACTATTTGCATACATATTCCTGAAGTATTCCATTTAATAGTTTTAGTTACCTATATTCAACCATGGTTGAATATAGGTAACTAAAATTGCTAAAAGCAAAACCAAAGATAAGTGGAGACTACTATATAGAATTCTTGGTGCAAAGATTTTTTTTGTTGTTTCTTTGTTTTAGCACTTTGAATATTTTGCTCCACTGTTTTCTTGCTTATGGTTTCTGCTAATAATCTGTTGATGATATTACTGATAATCCCTTATAAATTGCTTCTTTCTTGTTGCTTTCAAGATTCCTTTTTGTGTGTGTGTGTGTGTGTGTGTGTGTGTGTGTGTGTGTTTCACTAGTTTGATAATAACTTACTTCTGTGTGGATCTCTTTGATTTCATCTTACTTAGAGCTTGTTAGGAGCCTTGGGTATTCATGTCTTTCTTCAAATTTGGGAAGTTTTTTTTTAATTAGTTAATTTATTTGTTCTAATTTCTTATATGACAGCAGAATGCATTTCAATTCATAGTACACAAATGGAGCACAATTTTTCATGTCTCTGTATACAAAGTAGAGTCACACTATTCGTGTCTTCATACATGTACTTAGGGTAATGGTATCCATCTCTTTCTACAATCTTTGCTACCCCCATACTCCCTAGCTTCCTCTCCTTCCCCTTTGCCCTATCTAGAATTCCTCCTTTTCTCCCATGCCCACCTAGCCCCCTTAAGGATCAGCATCCACTTATCAGAGAAAAAATTTGGCCTTTCATTTTTGGTCTTGGCTTACTTCACTTAGCATCATATTCTCCAACTCCATCCATTTACCTGTAAATGCCGTGATTTTATTTTTTTAATGCTGAGTAATATTCTATTATGTGTATATACCATAGTTTCTTTATCCATTCATCTATTGAAGGACATCTAGGTTCCATAATTTAGCTATTGTGAATGGTGCTGCTATAAACATTAATGTGGCTGTGTCACTATAGTATGATGATTTTAAGTTCTCTGGGTGTATGCTGAGGAGTGCGATAGTTGGGTCAAATGATAGTTCCATTCCAGGATTTCTAAGGAATCTCCATACTGCTTTCCAGATTGATTGCACCAATTTTCACTCCCACCTACCAATGTTCAAGAGTGTGCCTTTTCCCCCTATATCTTCACCAACACTTATTGTTGCTGGTATTTTTAATAATTGCCATTCTGACTGGAATGAGATGAAATCTTAGAGTAATTTTGATTTGCATTTCTCTAATTGCTATAAATGTTATTACTTTGACTATTCTGGATCTTTGATTTTTCCAAATGAATTTCATAATTTCTTTTTCTATTTTTATGAGGAATGTCATTGGGATTTTGATTGGAATTGTATTAAATCTGTGTAGTCCTTTGGTAGTATGGTCATTTTGACAATATTAATTCTGCCTATCCAAGAACAGGGGAGATCTTTCCATTTTCTAAGTTTATCTTTAATTTCTTTATTAGAGTGTTCTGTAGTTTTTAATTGTAGAGGTCTTTCATCTCTTTGGTTAGGTTTTTTTCTTTTTTTTGAGGCTATTGTGAATGGGGTAGTTTTTCTAATTTCTCTTTTGGAGGATTCATCACTGCTGTATAGAAATGCATTTGATTTATGGGTGTTGATTTTATATTCTGCTATTTTGCTGAATTAATTTATTAGTTCTAGAGGTTTTCTGGTGGAATTTTTCAGGTCCCGTAAGTATAGAATCATTTCATTGGCAAATAGTGAAATAGTTTTGAGTTCTTCTTTTCCTATTTCTATCCCTTTAATTTCTTTCATTTGTCTAATTTTTCTGGCTAGAGTTTCAAAGACTGTGTTAAATAGAAGTGGTGAAAGAGGGCATCCCTCTCTTGTTCCAGTTTTTAGAGGGAATGCTTTCAATTTTTCTTCATTTAGAATTGTGTTGGCCTGCGGTTTAGCATACATTGCTTTTACAGTGTTGAGATATGTTCCTATTATCCCTAGTTTTTCTAGTGTTTTGAACATGAAGAGGTGCTGTATTTTGTTGAATGCTTTTTCTGCATTTATTGAGATGATTGCATAATTCTTATATTTACATCTATTATGTGATGGATTACATTTATTGATTTTCATATGTTGAACCAACTTTGCATCCCTGGGATGAACCCCACTCAATTGTGGTACACTATCTTTTTAATATGTTTTGTATGCGATTTGCCAGAATTTTATTGAGAATTTTTGCATCTATGTTCATTAGAGATATTGATTTCAAGTATTCTTTCCTTGATGTGCCTTTGTCTGATTTTGGAATCAGGATGATATCAGCCTCATAGAATGAATTTGGAAGTGTTCCTTCTTTTTCTATTTCATGGAATAATTTGAGGAGTATTGGTATTATTTCTTCTTTGAAGGTCTTTTAGAACTCAGCTGTGATTTTATCTGGTCCTGGGCTTTTCTTGGTTGGTAGGTATTTGATGGTGTCTTCTATTTCATTGCTTGAAATTGATCTGTTTAACCTGTGTATATTGTCCTGATTGACTTTAGTTAATCATATGACTCTAGAAATTTGTCAATCTGTTTGATATTTTCTATTTATTGGAGTACAAATTTTCAAAATAGTTTTTAATTTTCTTCTGTATTTCTGTAGTGTCCGTTGTGATATTTCCTTTTTTAATCATGGATTTTAGTAATTTGAGTTTTCTGTCTCCTTCTCTTCATACCTTTCCCCAATCTCCTCCACACCCCACTGTGATGCCCCAGGAAACCTCAGATATATTTTCTGTAAGTATAAACCATATTTGTATTTTTTTGTAGTTTTTTATAACTACTGGACTCATAGCACACATTATTTTGTTTGAAAATGGCATAACATTTTGGGATTCATGATTTTGTATGCATTAATATTTTATTCCTTAGTGTATAGTATTCTATTTTATGGATATTTATAAATTTGTTAGTTTATAGACTCTTTAGCATTTGGGTTGTTTACAGTTTTGAGCAAACTTCTGGTTTGTGATGGCCTTTGGCTCTTATACGTATAGATTATCTCCTCTTTTTTACTTATTATTGTGAGATTATCACTAAGAATTGTGCTTCTTTGTAGGAATTCCATTTAGCTTCTTTGTAGCTAGATATACCTAGCTGGAAGGTGTATCTCAACCTAGCATACAATGAGTAAATGCTAGTAAATAAATATTTTTATAAGTTTTTGCATAGCAATACATTTTATTTTCCTTGATAAAATAAAGGTAGAATTGTTGGGTCATAGAAAGTAGGTTTAAATCTTTAAGAAAACTACAAAACTGTTTTTGAAAGTGACTATAATGCTCTACAGTGTTGCCAATAAGGTATGAATATTTCCTTTCACACATGGCACTATTAGTCTTACATTTTGTCATCTTGATGAAAGTATAATGGTATCTCTTTGGTTTCATTGATTTTATTTTATTTTCTGATGACTAATGGTGGAGAGGATTTTCTAACACCATTCATTTACTGTTTTTTTTGTGAAGTATTTGTTTAAATCTTTTTGCTCATCTTTTAACAGAGTTGTAATCCACTTATTATAGTCATCAGAATACTTTGTATATTATGAACACATCATTTGTCAGACATATATTTTCTTCCACCATATGGTTTCCCTTTCCATTTCCTTAATTGTGTCTTTCAATAGGCAAATTTCTTAATTTTGATGCAATCCAGTCTGTCAGTTATTTTGTTTTATTTTTTGTGTTGTGTCCTTTCTAAGACACAAAGATAACAAAGGTAGCAAATATTTTTCTTTATGTTTTTTCTAAAGTATCTTAAAAGCTTTGGCTTTTATTCTAGTTCCATGGTTAGTTTGAATTAATTTTAATGTATGTTTAGAGTTAGGAGAGCCTAAGTACATCCCAACAGAAGAATTTCTGATTGATTTTCTAAACTGATATTTGGATGATTCAACACAATTCCATAAAATTACCATGTTGCCCATTTTACTAACTTTTTATCTTTGTAAAAAAATTAATTGGCCATATATCTATATCTATATCTATGTATGTGTGTGTGTGTGTGTGTATATGTGTGTGTATATATATATATATATATATATATATGTTTGTTTCTGTATGTTTTATTTTTTTCCGTTGATTTTTTTTTACTTGCCTTCCCATCTCCATGTCAAAATTACACTGCCTTGACAGTTTTATAATGAACTTTGATAGTAGATAGTGTAAGCTCTCCAACTTTGTTCTTTTTCAAAATAATTTCAGTGATTAGATCTTTTATTTACATAGAAAGTTTAGTATTAACTTGTTATTTTATATAAAACTTTCTTTTGGTATTTTATTTCAGATTATAGTCAATGTGTAGAGAATTTACATTTTATCAATATGGGATATTGGAGTCAAATGAATATGTGTATTTCCATTTATTTAGATCTTTAATTTTTTCTTAGCAATTTTTTGTGGGTTTTAAGTGTAAAGGCTTTTCCTTTTCTTTTTCTTTCTTTTTTTCTTTCTTTCTTTCTTTTTTAACTTTGCTAGTCTTCATTACCTGATTATAAAAGTAGAGTTGATTTCCTAATGTTGGTCGAGTATCCTGTGATCTTTCTAGATTCTTGTTAGAACTGGTGGCCTTTATATAAGTTACTTAAAGTTTCTCACTCTAAGAAAACTCATGACTATGTATTGTATGAGTAAGATAATGATATTGTGTTTTTTTAAAATTTCTTTTTCTTCCTTTATTGCATAGGCTAGGAACTTTGGTTTAATTCTAAGTAGAAATTGTCTTTTAACTATCTCTGTCTTTGTCTTTCTCCATTTTATTTATTCAATGTCTAATAGATAATCATGTTCAATATTCTATCTACCTTGATCTTAACATTACTTTTTTTTTTTTTTTTTTTGGTACTGGCGATTAAACCTATGGTCTAGCATATGTTTGGCAATTCTGCCACTGAGCTATATATCCCCATCTCTTTATAAATTTTGAGATAATATCTTAATGTGTCATTCAAGCTGGTCTCAATTTTGTAGCCCTTTTGCCTCAGCCTCTGAGTAGCTGAGATTATAGTCATTTACCACCATACCCAGCTTAATATATTACTTTTGGTGATGATATAACAACAGTAAGCTATATTGGAATATCTAAAATACACAAGGAACTATTTTAAGCAATTTATATGTATTATTTCATTTAAAATTTACAAGACCTTAATTATTGGTAAGCATGAAATTCATTTTTACAAATAAGGATATTAGGAATAAAGAGAAGGTACATTACCAGAGGTCAAAATCTTAAAATAAGTTATAGTGTTTTCCTTATATGATAAATAGCTATAATATAAGGGAGAAAATAAACATAACAAGTATGATTATAGTGCTATGGGACTTATGATGAATGAAAAGTCCTGGAGATGCACTTGAATGTTTAGTTGAAGAATTAATTAATCAGATTATATTTAAAGTATTTCTCTAGGATTATAATTCAGTATAGAATATATATTTCTTGGGGCTAGGGAAATAGCTCAGTGGTAAAGCACTTGCCTAGCATGCATGAGGCCCTGAGTTCAATCCCCATCACACATAAAAAGCAAACAACAATAATAAAAAAGATATTAAAAGATATATATATATATTTTCATTTCAATAATGTTATGATAACATAGTATATGATACATCAGTGAAGAAAGGATGTGGGAGGGAATTGTTTTCTAGCAGTTCTAATATGTAATCAAGATGAAAACAGAGAAATGTATAATAGTAACTCTGGAGGTAAATATTAAGATAATAGAAAATTACCAGAAAGATTTTATGTGGAGACAGAGATAAAAGCCACATATTCTCAAAGACCACTTCAAGCTTTGAGCCTAATGATCACTTAGAATGTATGTTTTTGAAGAATAAGATGACCCTTGTGGTACCTTTTCAAATCATATACTTGTGACAATTACCAAAATTCTTCTCCCACCTCTGCCCTGCACAAACACATACATAGACATAGGAAAATATTGGTCATTGGTTATGTTTTCAGTATCCCCCAAGTGATTAGAATTTTAATCCTTCTCTTCCCTTAGTTATTGATCTGCAATTTCCTTAAAAGGCTTAATTTATAGGAAATTTGACAAAATGAACCTTTTCACAGATTGACAATTTTTATTGGACATTTATGTTGAGATATTTTAAAGGAGTTGGAAATATAAGATATTAGAGAAATTAGATCTCTAACAAGATATAGATTTGGAATTATTTCAGTAGCGATGACAATTAAATCAATTGTTATGTTAAAAATATTTTAAATAAGATTTATTCTTTTCTCTTTTATTTTTATTTTCTTCCCTCTCTCCTTCACTCTTTCCCTTCTTTCCTTTCACAAATAGTCAGACATCTAATATGTGCTTAGGATACACAGTGGTAAATAAAAACTTGCAGAGTTATCACATTTTTAGGGACTTCAGTTTAATGGGGATAAAAATTAAGCACATCATGACACATAAATAAATGCCATATTAATTCCATCAGGGAAATTTTTTTTTTTTGAGAGGAGAGAGAGTGAGAGAGAGAGAGAATTTTTAATATTTTATTTTTCAGTTCTCGGACACAACATCTTTGTTGGTATGTGGTGCTGAGGATCGAACCCGGGCCGCACGCATGCCAGGCGAGCGCGCTACCGCTTGAGCCACATCCCCAGCCCCCCATCAGGGAAATTTTAACATGGTATTTTCCTAGCTTAAAAATACATTGCTTCCCTAAAATTATAGGCTGCTTGATACTTGACGTATTGAAAATTATAGGCTGCTTTTGAAATTCTGTTTTCCCATAGAAATAATAATATGAAAAGTTCTTATGTAATCCCATAAAGTCCTGTTTAACTATTGCTAAATATCTCTTTGTAACTTTGTTTTTGTGGGCAGATTCTTTCGACGTGGTGATATAGGAGACATGCTGAAGATAATGTTATTATATTGATGGGAATTAGACTGAAAGAAAAATCTGAAAAGAAAATGAATCAGTCTTTGAACAATATGATTAGTCCATCCACACCTAGGGTCTGCACATGAACAAAGACTAATACATTTTAGGCTATATCATGAGTTTATATTCTGATAAGGGAGAGAAAACATATAAACCATTAGATGCAATATGACGTATTATGTCCAGGAATACATGTTTTTAATAAGATGTAGAACTAACAGACTACTTAGTAAGGGTCAGAGAAAACATGAAGAGAAATAAGTGATATCTCAGTATGCACTGGAGGATAAATAGTACTTTACTTGATGAACTGATATAAGTAGAGAGAGACATTCCTTTAAGGTTTGAAGGCATAAAACAATACAATTTCAGGAATGGCAATACAGTATTCAAAGGAACTAAAATTGTGAGTCATACAGGAATGGGAGAGAAAGCTAGGAAAGTATGATTATGTAATGCCTCATAGGACATGGTTGAGATGTCTGCAGGAAGATGAATAGAAGTATAGACATAAAATTTCATACTTAAGGCCTATTCGATTTGAAGGAGCCACATTCAAGAAGTTTCCTGATGGGAGTTGGGAATGGGGGTGCACTCCTGTAATCCCAGTGACTCAGGAGGTTGAGGCAGGAGGGTCCCAAGTTCAAGGCCAACCTCAGCAACTTAGCAAGATCTTTATATTGCAATATAGCATGACGCTGTCTCAAAATAAAAAATAAAGGATATAAGCCAGTAGTGGTATAGTGCTCCTAGGTTCAGTCTCCAGCACCAAAAAAAAAAAAAGTTACCCGATGGAAATTTTTTCATCTATTTTTTAAATTTTTGAAT